GTCGTCGTCGTTGTTGCGCGGCGGGTGCCGCGGGGAAATACATATGTTCCACTACTGGTGGGAGCCCAGACCGTCAAAAAGGCAGCCGAATATGCATATGTTCTATTATTGGGTGGTCTAAAGACCGATCTGGGTTATGCACCGCTGTTCAATGACGCTGGTTTTGAACGAAGGGCTTAGTTGTTGAGCCCTCTTTGGGGCCCGACAGGCCACCTCTTGGGTCGCTCTTGGGGCGGTCTCTCAGCCATCCTCGGACCCTCTTGAGGATCGTTTGGACCAGTTTGGGTCCATCTTGAGCCCTCCGATGCCCATTGGAAAGGACAAGTGTGTTGGAAGGCTTTTGGTCTTCTTGGGCCCACCCTTTGGAGGCTCAGTGGCCACTCGGAGCCGTCTTGGGTGTCCTTGGGACCTCCTAGAGGCATCGTGGAAGCCATCTTGAGCTGTCCTGAGCTATATCGTGCCATCTTGTCGGTTAGGGCATCTGGAGCCATGCGATACTCTGAGGGGCGTTGCGGGTTCAAAGCGAGGGCTCAACACGGGTTGCCAGCTGCCAGCGTGGCGCGTGCCCACGCAATTACGTTGGATATATCCAGTGGCCTTCGGCCCATCCCGATTTGTTTGTGGGTCGGAGGCCTCTTGGAGGCAGCTTGGAGGCCTCTCGGGGGTCGTGTTGGTGCCTCTTGTGGCTTCTGTTGGGCCCCTTGGGGGCTTCTTGGCGCCTCTTGGGGTCCTCGTGGGGCCTCTTGGGCACCTCTTGGGGGCTTCTGGGGGCCCCTTGGAGCGTAAGGCTTGGATTTTCGATTGGGGCCGTCTTGGGGCCCTCTTGGGCCGTCCTGGGCGCCTCTTGGGCTGTCTTGAGGCGCTCCGAGGCCGTCATGGGGCCCTCTTGAAGGTCTCTTTGGTCGTGTTGGGGTGGTCTTGGAGGCCTCTTGGGCCGTTTCGGGGCGTCGGAAAGCCGAAAAGGTGAGAAGGCCAAATACTTTCAAGCACCTGCAGCAAAAAGTTATAATTTGGGCAGCTTTTGAGGCATCTTCGAGGCCTCTTGGGCGTCTTGGCCGATCTTTGGGCGACTCGCGGCCTTTTTGGACCGTCTTGGGGGCCTCTCGGGGCCCTCCTGTCCCGTCTTGGGCCTGGGGCTGTCTCGGGACCCAGCACAGTCATGCGACAAGCCGCGGGGGAGCCCAGCCTGGGGGGGCGCACGCCAGGAGACCACGGTTGATTTCGGCAGTTTGGGTCCGGGCTCCGCAAGGACTCCTCAGGACTGAAGATTGGGTCTCCACTCAGGGGCGGCCAAGAGGGGGGTACTGACTGGGGGGGGGGGATCTCATGGCGTGGGCCCTGATATCTCCCCAAATGTCATGGCGCCTGTTCTTGCTCCAGTGCATTCCCCAGCTACCCCCTCGGCCGCACACGTGGCGCCGGCTATGATCTGCTCCCCCCCATCCCTCTTGGACGCCCCCCCTCTTGGCCACCCCCGATCCAGGGATCAGGCAAAGGACCTGGGGACACGCCCTGTCCGTCTCCAGAGGCACGGTTGCGTATGTCTCTTACACGGATGGTGGTCCTGCGTTGCGGGCGATATGATGGCGCTTTTGTCGTCCGTGTCTACAGACAGTTCCCAGTGATCGTGGGCCAGCCGAACATGATTTGGGCATTAGCAGCCACGTAATTGCGCAACTTTGTTGTTGCAGGCAGGCGGGGGGGTATTGTCCCTTGTCGGTCCCCCAGTCAAGTGGGGGAGGGCCCCGCGTCAATACGAAGCAGTGGCAAACCGTTTCCCGAAGGGGGAGAGTGGGCTTGGACGAGGAGGCGGCGGAGGGCTGGTTGTTTTGTCCACAATCCGCGTGTAGGGGGGCATGCCCGACCTAAGGCTGGTGGGATACGATCGCTTTTTCTTTTGTCGAAGAGAACAAGGCAGGTCAAGTTGGCGCCCTGTGGAAAACACACGCTGGGCTCGCCCAGAGGCCCTGGGCAAGCACGCGGCACATGAAGCACATGGGGCAGATGCGGTCGGTATTGTGAACGCCTCCTGGCGCGAGAGTAGCATTGCTGACTGCTCTCAGGCGATCACAAAAATGGATCAAGGGGGCATCATGGATAGCAACGGGTCCCGTTTCTCATGAGAAATCGCGGAGTTCCGCCGCCGCGCGAGGCGGCACCGGCCGCATTTTGGGGAGGGCACCTCACCCGATCCATGTTTGCGCGCCCCCGACTCTTGACGCGACAGAAGCATTGTTGCCTGCTCGCTACGCTTTGAAGTCGGGCGCGTCCCTCTACAGGGAGGAATAGTCAAACATAGTAACAACATAATCAGGGGACGATGTTTTGACCATTGTTGGCGATGTATTGGGGCACTTTGGGGGTATTGTTAAATTTTCGCCCAAAATCTGCCTGCAGCGGGACATGCCCGACCGAAGGGTCGATGCGGTCGGTACTGTGAGAGCCTCTTGGCGCGACAGTAGCACTGCTGATTGCTCGCTGCGCACTGCGACGGGGCTGCAGTCGATAGTTTGCTACTTGGAAGCTCCCGTAGCCCCGATCTCAACAAGAAGCTGCCATGGAGCGAGCACTTCAGGTGGAACGCCGGGAGAGAGAGAGAATACTTCTTACTCCGAAGGGGCTCGGTGTCCCTTGGTTTCCACCTGGGGGGCCCAGCAGAGTACATATAGCTCGGCCACCGGCGTGTCCAGCATTGGGAACGTGCCACAGCCCACACTTTCCTCATTACCGCAATGTGTTGCAGCACTTAACTTTTACACGCGTACCTCGTGGCCGCATGTGTCTGATAATTGACTGCCTCGTTGTCAATATGAAGTCTCTTGCGTTTTTGCTAAAGTCAAGGGGGCCGTGCCGAGAAGCCCAGCGTAGCATGCCCGAGTGGTACTGTGGCTGTTGCACCGGCGAGCCCAGCCGTCGGAACAATCGTTGGCCGTGTGGTTTTCAACCGTAGTTCGTGCGTGCCACATTTGAGACTTCAAGTCGTCGGGAATGACACTAAGTAGATGTATGCGCACACGTATACGGAAGAGCCGCCTCATTCCCAGCCTGCCGCTCCCGGGATCCCCCTTTTCCCATCCCTTCCAATTTCCCCTCTCTGGTCTGTTATCCCCCCTTGCCCTCCTACCCTTCTTGTCTCCATCCCCTGCCTCGCTCCCTCGGGCCCCCCGCCCTCGTCAGTCTTGGATTTGTCCCGCCGTCCCAATCTCCATGCACGTTACCTCCCCCCGTCCATTCGCGTGACCTCGTTGTCCCTCCCCCTCCACTTCTTTCTTCCCCCACTCCCTCCATCTGTCTCCTGTTACACACGTAGCACCCCGCAGTTGCGGATCAGAGTGAGGTGGCGGTGGGGACGTCGGCAGTCTGCGAGGCGTTGCGAGGCTCTGAAGAAGCCCGCCGCAGGCGCCTAGTTTTACAAATCAAACCAGGAGCTCGCCGCAGGCGCCGATTTTTATCGTCAAAGCAATGTGGGTGGGTCGCGGAGTGGGTCGCGGGTGGATCGCGGGTGGGTCGCGGGGTGGGTCGCGGGTGGGTCGCGGGTGGTTCGCGGGCCGGGTCGCGGGGGGACGACGACAACAAACAACAACAACAACAAAAACAAACAACAACAAAAACAATAGCAACAACAACAATAACAACAACAGCAACCATTTCAACAACGGCAACGACAGCACCAAGAACAACAAACAACACATAACAGCCACAACGATCAGTTTAGGACTCTTCGCTTCTATCTGCTCACGTGGCAGCCAATCCGTGCATCCCAAACCTTCGGCATCCGCCGTCGTCGTCATCGATCGTACCCCCTTGGGGGTATATCTTCCTTACCTGGCACGTGCATGTAGTGCAGCCCTTTAAAACAAGGGAAGAGAGAACGGGTGGAAGGGGGAGGGAGAATAATGGAGCACGAGAGACATGAGCAGGAGGGGGGCAATGAGCAGAACACAAGTGGTCGAACCAGACGGGCAGATCGGATGGGCAGTCCCATCGCAAACAGTTCGGGAAGGCGGGCCCAGGCGACCAGGTCGAGCAGGCGGGTTGCTGAAGCGTGGGTTCTGCATGATCGCGAGGAAGTCTCGAGCGATAGAACGATACCCAAGTGAATCGTGAGAAAAGCCAAAGCGAGAGCGTGATTCCTGAGCGCCGAGGGCGCCGCGAGAGCGCGATGCGTACATGAATTGTGAATAAGTCCCGCGCGACAGCACGATTTGGGAATACGTTCTGAGGAAGCATGAGGCGGGAGCCGCTATTGTTGTAAACCGGGGGCTAGGGGCCAAGTTTGAGCCCCGTGATTTTCGTTGATCAAATAACAGGGTGCGAGCCCTGGGGGAAGCACTTGAATTGAAAAAACACAATGGTCACCGGAGGGGGGATCAACGATAATTATTTTCAGTAATGAGAAAGTTCCAGAACAACAAAGCCAACAACACCAACAACAACACCAACAACACCAACAACAATCCGCACCGCAGAACCTCACTTCTGCCACACGCCCAGGGACAGTGAATGACCGTTCGGCCCCCTCACTCTGATATACGGATGCACATAGGGAGACCTGTCGTTCTCTCTCGATGTCCGTCTGCTGATACGGTTATCTCTCGTCCTCTTTTCCTCTCTACCTCTCTCTCTCTCTGTATATTCCTTTCTCTCCCCCGCTTTCTCACTATGCATGTTGTTCTTGTTTGTTATATATATGTATGTCTCTCTCTCCCCCTCTCTCTCTCTTTCTCTCTCTCTCTCTCTCTCCTTCTCTTTTTTTTCTTCCCTCCTTCCGCGCTTTCTCGCTTCCCCACAGACTCTCTCCATCCCGACCTCCTTCCCACTTACGTCTCCACCTCGAACGGAGGACAGAAGAGAAGGCAGGAAGTGGGGGGGGGCGGGAGAGAGGGGGATCGAGAAGGGGGGAGGGTCAGGGAAGGGGGAGGACATGGAGGAGGAGCAAGGCGCCCTGTGCACCCACTCTTCCGTTGCAGTAATTCTGGCGGACTGCCGAGGCTGCCGCGATGGCCCTGCGGACCGGTGAGACCCCGATCGGGTCGCTCTCCATGCTGGGCGAACGGCATACGGTGCCCCGCTTAGAATCGAGGGGTACCAGCACCTGTCTTATCGTTCCCCTTCCCTCCATCTCTCCTCCTCATCGTGCTTCGGGTCGCCATCTGTGATCCTCCATTTTCTTCTCTTGGCTGCAGCTGGTTCTGCCGCTGACGTTGCTCCTGCTCCTCCTGCTGCGCCAGCTGCCGCTGCTGCCGCTGCTGCTGGAGGAGAGGAGGAGAGGAGGAGAGGAGGAGAGGAGGAGAGGAGGAGAGGAGGAGAGAAGCAGAGGAGGAGAGGAGGAGATGGGGAGGAGGAGGAGGAGGAGGAGGAGGAGGGAGGAGGAGGAGGAGGAGGGGAGGAGGAGTAAGGGGAAGAGGAGGAGGAGGAGGAGGAGGAGGAGGAGGAGGAGGAGGAGATAACCCCACCTCCTGCACCCCCAGACGTGTCGGTAGGCCAGGCCGGGCGCTTCGCCTGAGACACCCGCGCCAGTTATGACCTTGAAGCTCTAAAAAAGCACAAGAGGGAACATGTGCCGTTTTCACAACGCGGGTCTCGACTTGGTGCCGTGCATCTTCGTTTCACAAGTGCCCTACGTTTTTTAGGATGTGGCGGCCGGTTGCTTTTCAAATTGGGCCTGTCGCCGAAGCGCCGCGCATATGCGTCATGGCAGATCACAACAAGTTCCATCAATCGTAGGGTTGCGGTCGCAGGATGGGCGTTCTGGCACGATCAAGCTTTGCCTTTGACGCAGCAGTTGCGTTGATTCGATGCTGGCGTCCCAGGAATAGAGTTCTGGCACGGTTTATGGTTGTCAGGGCGCAGCAGTCATGTTGATTCGCGAACTTGAATTGCCCAGGAATGGTAGTCCTCTGGCACGATGTTGGATCTTCAGAGGCAACAGTCGCACTGATTCGTGGCGTCGAAGTCTCAAGAGCGGCGTTTGCGCACGATTGGGGGTTCTCGTACGCTTGCCTTTTCACAGCGCAGTTCCAGCAAAGGCATTTTTTTGTTGCAGGGACGTATAAGAGGGAGCTCGGAGGGATAGTTTTTGTTTGGTTGCAGCGTTGTTTGAGCGTCTTCGGTTTAGACTGGTGTGTTTTTCTGTCTGTTCTGTTGACCATGCTTTATCACCCGAAAGTGCGTCAGCATGGAAATCTCTGCACTGTGATTATTGCACGATCCCTGGGTTCCATGACTGGAAACCTCTGTGGCTTTACCGTTGTCGCGTGGTTGGCGCGGTTGTTGTTCTCAGCCATCCTGTGTTGTTGGGCCCTTGTGCTCGAGACAGCGCCCTGCGTCTCCTCCTCTCCCTCCTTCTTCCTTCCTTTCATCCCTGCCCCTGTCCTGCGCATGCACTCATCGTCATCGTCGTCGTCATCGCGATCCTCATCATCATCATCACCATCATTATCCTCACCTTTTTCGGCTCAAGCCATTTTGGCTCAAGGCTCAAGGATTTGCACCGACACTTTTTGCCACGATGAGCCTCTTCCCTCGCAGCGATTGCGAGTTCCCTTGAGCCGTGCAATGCTGGAGACAGATGGTCAGAACCGCTCCCGCAGCATGGATTGGGAGGCTCGGCGTGCTGACGGGCACGCGAGTTCGCCTACGCCCCGTGGTCGTGCTTCTGCTGCTGGCAGTGATCAGCCCACTCGGCACGACATGCAGATCCTAGACAAGTTCAAACCGGACGTCACCGCGGACACGTCCAAGCCCATTGTCCAGTTGCGATGAGCAGGTGCAGCAGCGGTTCCGCGAGCACGACCATGTACGTGACATTCATTAGCATCTTCGCGACACGCCAACCATCATGACCTACCTCACAACTATTTCACTTATTGCCGTCTCTCAGGAGCTGGCCAACGCGCAGGAGTTGCTGAAGACCCGCGCTTTTGAAAAGACTGGACCGCCTAACCTCGTCAAAACCAATGCGACCGAGGCCGTCCCGAAGATCGCTGTTCGCTAGGCCCTGCGCCCAGTGTTCACCACGGCCCATGTCCTGGAAAGAACGTGGGAACTGCTGGGACAGGACACGTCCCGCAATGTCAACATCAAGCTCGAGGGCACTGTGGGTGCTGGTAGCCTTCGCGCGGCCCAGTTCATGGAGGTGGTCCGCAACGACGGCGGTTGGCTTGCTTTGGAGGCCCAGAACGGAAACGAGAGGGTGCGCTTCTACGCGGACACGAACAAATCCAAAAGACAGACCAAACTCGAAGCGGGCCGTCGGCGGCTATTCCGAAATTCTCGCACAGGCTACCGTGATGTACAATTCCACTTCGACCGGGAAGCTGGAAAGATTACGGTCGACTGGACGACGTTGGCACATGCCGTGGTCGAAGGTCTGGATTCGTCGGCGGTGGAGTGCAATCGCCAGCTGGCACGGAATCTGCACATTGACAGGGCGGCGGGGAGCAGCAGTGGAACGTACGCGCCACGAGGGACAGCGAAGTGGAGCTGCAGCGTGGGTAAGTGCTCCAGTGCTGCGGGCGGCGACGCGTTCGCCGTGACCCAGGCTACGTTCAACGGCTGGGCGATCTTAGACGCACGCCATGCAGAGCGCCAGGCGAAGTTGACCTTCATCACGGAGGTCTTAGCGAATTCACGAGTTATCTTCCTAGAAGAGGTGCCTGGTACAGGGGAGGGTTTGGAGACTGCTGCGCCACACCTTCTTCTTTCCCATCGTCCGTTCGTCAACCCAGGGGTTGGTGGCACTGCAGTTTTGGTCCGCCGTGCGTGGCTGGGCGAGCAGTGCGATTGCAATTCGGTCAACGCCGTCGGTGGCAGGATCCAGCGGGTAGTGATCGATAGGGGAGGGCGGCAGATTATACGATGCTGCGTACACAATCTTGACCTGGCTGGAGACCTAGTCGACAGCATAGTCTCGACTATGACATGTGGACATTGACGCAGCTCTTCGCAATCCCGCCCGGATGGCAGTATTCATCGCTGGGGATTGGAAGAGCAAAGGCCCCCATCGACTTACACATAACTGTCCCGGACGCCAGGAAGGTAGATGGAGGTCATCGGCACGTCCACGGGGTGCACGAGGGGGAAGCGGATGACAATATGACTGCGGCTCGTCGACGTCGCAACCCGGGTATTCACGCAGTTCAAAACGCACAAGTATCTATCCAGGCTGGACCGCGTCTATATTTGCACCGGCGGGCACTACCTCCACCAGTTCTGCATCGACCCGCCGAGGCAGGCCACTCTGGTCAACATGCTCCAGCGCAAGATATCTGACCACGCGCCTGCGGTGGTCTGGATCTCGCCGAGGAGGAGGGTTCCTCATGGCAGCCAGCGGATCGCCACGGGGGTCTGCAAGCATCCCACGATCAAAATCTTCCACAGGCCGTGAGTGGACAACGCTGGGCTTGACAAGAAAAGGAAAGAGACGAGAAAAATTGCCCAGGGGCGAGACGAGAAAAATAGCACAGGGGCAGAAGAGGTAATTCGGGCATGTCCCTCTACAGGAGGAGTTGTTTAAAAATAGCTTGACATAAACAGTCTGGGGACGACAGAGGAAACGTATGACCCAGGAGGAGCATGTGAGAGAGGAAACGTAGGAGGAGCCTGATGAGCCTCTCGGATGGAGAATAGAGAGGATGAGGAGGAAGCCCAGGAAGGGGAGCTTGGGAGAAGGGCGCGAAGCGGGGGGAAGAGTAAAAAATGGGGTCAACAAGGGATCACAGGTGCGTTGTCTCCCCCAATCCCCTAGTTCCGCCCGGAATTTTTGACCTCCCAGGAAAAAAATAACAAAGGGGGACACCTTGGGATGCACCGTGAAGGGGGTATTCCGACGCACCTCTACCGAGGATTGACGCCTCTCCTCGTAGATCCAGGGAGGGGCCCCGAACTCATGGTCCGGTCAAGTACCTCCCAAAGCCTGGGATAGGGGTCGACCAGGAAATGGGGGAAGGGGAAGAGGAGGGCAAAAAGTCAAGGGAGGAAAAACCACTTGGACCCTACAACTGGCGTTTACTATAATGTCCTGGGCGTTTATTGAACAGCCCTGTCCTGTGAGTTCTTCTTTGGGTGCGTCTGGTAAACGGCTTCGGGTGTCGGGGTGGCTACTATGAGGGAAGGGGAGGGCGAGAAGGTACAGGAGGCAGGGAACGGAAGGGAAGGGAAGGGGGAAGAGAAGAAGGGGAGGGCAGAAGAGGAGGAAAAGGACGGGAAGGAAGGGAGGGAAGGGGAGGGAAGGGAAGGGAAGGGAAGGGAAGGGAAGAAGGAGAAGAAAGGGTGCTGCTGGAGGGCGAGGAGAGCAGCACGGCGGCGCGGCGGTACCGCCCAGGATCCGGGCACCTCGTGGCCACTGGCTTCGCTCAGGCAGCTCAAGGCGCCAGGGGGGAGGCAGATGACGTCCTGCGAGTGGTGCTGTGCATGTCGGTCTGTATCCATGTTAGGGCGGCGGACGGGGAGGAGGAGGAGGAGGAGGAGGAGGAGGAGGAGCAGCAGCAGCAGCAGCAGCAGCAGCAGCAGCAGAGAAGGAGGAGGTGAGGGAGGAGGGGAGGGGAGGAGGAGGAGGGGGAGGAGGAGGATGAGGAGGAGGAGGAGAGGAGGGGAGGGAGGAGGAGGAGGAGGAGCAAGAGGAGGAGGAGGAGGAGGAGGAGGAGGAGGAGGAGGAGCGGAAGAGGAGGAGGAGGAGGGGGAGGAGGAGGGGTCCTGACCGCTCCCGTCGGCTTCTGGGTGCCGCCCGCGTTGCGTCCCTGCGGCAAAGAGGGGGGTGATGACTAGAGGTGTGTGGATATCATTGCGGGGGCCATGATACCTCCCCTGATTTCATGGCGCCCCTTTTAATTTCAAGAACCCCCCCCCCCGGCCTCGCACATGCCGCGGGCCATGCTTTGCGCCCCCCCCCCCTCCCTCTTGGACGCCCCCCTCTTGGCCGCACCCGAGAAGTGAGAATGAGAAGGTTTTCTCAGGAGGCGGCGGGGCTTCTCAGACGCCTCCGGGCCTCCCGAAAGGTCTTCCGTGTCTTCGGGAAGTGCCCAGGAAATTTGTCGGAAGGCCGGGGGACGTCCGAGCTTTCTGAGAAGGCCCGATCCTTCTCACGTCCCCACTGGCTCGTCGCCAACAAGCGGTGGTGCTCTGCATTTTGGTTTGCGTTCTCTTTGCTTCGGGCCAGTCTACTTTGCACTCGTAGATTATATGATCGGGCTGGCCTTTCTCCCGCCACTTGAGGAGCTGCTAAAACGGTGCCAACTGGTTTGCGTCCTCTTTGTTTCGGGCGGGTTTGCTTTGCACTCTCGCAGGTTATCTGATCGGGCTGGCTTCGCTCACGCCATTCAATGAGCCGGGGACCCAGACATGCGACGTCCTGATTTTTTCAGGACGGCGCCCCCCGGAAGTCCCGACCCTGTCGCCGGTTTTTCATCCTGAGTCGTTTTTTGACGTTCCCAGGGCTCGGCGAGGGCCCCCCGGGGCCGAAAATGGCGAAAAGCCGGGCCGTCCTGATTTCTTAAACGACGCGATCATGTCTGGGGGGAAGCAGACGGGCCCAAAAAGCTCGAGGCGCACATTCAGAGGGGGTCCGCGGTGACGGGTGTCAGCCATGCCCCCCCCTCCGATCCGCCCCGGCCGGCCCGGATCTGGGAGCCTCGTGCGGCCGACCCCTCCCTCCCCGGCGACCGCAATTTTAAGCCAGGCCTGTTCTTCAACAGGAGGAATCTTCAAAAAGAGTAAAACACTAGTCTGGGGCCTTTTTTCCCGTTTTTTTGAATACCATTTTGAGTATGTTTTGAGTGTGTGTGTGTGTATTTCCGACATCTCCTCCAAAATCCGCCACTCGGGGGGCATGCCCGACCTAAGACTGCACAGGGTATGGGCACGCCGGGATGTGGTTTGCGATCGGCACCGTTGGGGCCTGGGGAGCACGGCACTGTCCTCGCCGGGCCTCCTCGGGGCGCGGTGGAGAGCTCTGTGGAGGCCCCCGCCCGCCCCCCAGGGTGCCCCCTTGGGCGCCGGTTGCCAACCACACCCTTTGCAAGCCACACCCTTTGGATCTATTGACGAACGAACAGCACACACACCCATATCCATAGGGGGGTCGTTGGGAGGCGGACTGGCTATGGGTATGGGTGCGGGTTGTCGGAACCTGGGGAACGCTCCCGTTTGAGCGGGGACCCCCATCCGACAACACGCACCCATAGCCCTCTCCGATCCCCCTCTGGGTACGGGTGTGTGTTGTTGGTTCGTCATCTATTGTGTGGCCAGCCCAGGTTCAACGAAAGTGCCCGGGCTGGCTCAGGCTGGCGCGTCCATGACAAGCAGACGTGCGTGCGTTGGTTGAGACCAGCCTTGTTTCTACCTGCGCTGCCGCAGATCTTCAGAAAGTCTTTCATGCTCCACCGTGCGATGCCAGTTCTTTCCATGTTCGCTCGGGGATGCTCCAAATAAGTATGTAACCCACCCAGACAATGATGCATCTGACCGCGACCTTCAGACAAGAAGTCATTTCAGCGCAGGACGCAACCCCGTACAGTTGTGAGTAGCGCAGGGGGATGGCCCTCCTGAAAAAAATGCTGGAAGTGGTCGGGAAGATACAGGTGGAGTGCAGCAGAAAGGGGAACGCGCTCCGGGATCGAGAAGCAAGGGGAGGAGCAGGAAACACTATACATACGGGCGCCGCGCGCACCCGTGCCCCATTGGGCACGACATGTTGGAGGAGCGTGCAGAATTGGAGCGAGCACGGCTTTGGAGCCCCCTTTGGGGCGCGAATCGCGTGAGGGGCGTGTTGAACGGAGGAGGCGGCAACAGCAAATGCTTACTTCCACTGGGACTGTAGGTCGCGGTCCCTGCGGTAGGGGGTAACGAGACGCATGAGGGATGTGCAGGTGGGTGCTTTGAAAGGCTGAGGATGCGTGATTGGCGCGCGGGGTGGAGGCGGCGACCGCATACCTGCAACCCTTGTAGGTCTGCAGATTGAGTTCAAGGGGGAGGGGGCGAAAAGACATGTGAGGGTGTGGCAAGCGGAGGCCGCGGTCCCCTGCTCGCACCGTCTTTCGGGCCTGAGCTCGAGCTCCCTGTGGAAGCACGGTGCGCGTGATGGGCGTGCAGACTCGGGACGGCGGCCGCATGCTCGCACCCCCCCCTCGGGCTGCAGCTGCAGCCTCCCACGGGACCACGAAGCGAGTGCGGAGCGCGCCGGATGCGAGGCGGCGGTCGCACGCACGCAGGCTCCCACTGGTGCTGTGTAGTTTGGGATCCCCAGAGGCACGAACCGCGCATGGGATCCTCCTCTTCCTCCTCCTCCTCCTCCTCCTCCTCCTCCTCCTCCTCCTCCTCCTCCTCCTCCTCCCCCGAAGCAGGGCATGTCAGGAGTAGGCTCACTTGTGAGGCACGGAGCGTGCGAGGGGTGCGCCAGATGGAGGCGGCAGCCGCACACTCGCACCCCTCACTGGGGCCGTACTTGGAGCCCCCCGTGGGGCACGGCATGCGTGATGTGGCGTGCTGTACTGAGGAGGTGGCCGTGCACTCGCACCGCTCGCAGGGGCTTTCACCTGGAGGCCCTGGGCCACTTGTGGCGTCCCAACCCCCGGACAGCGACGCAGTCCAAAGCGCGTGGAACGCCTCGGGGAGAACTTGCAAGGATGCCGGAAAGGATGTGTGGGGAGCTTGCGAGCTCGAGAAAGGAGCTTCGCAGGAGCCCCCAAGGAGCTTCGCAGGAGCTGCGGAAAGGCTTCCGGCACACGCATTGGGAACGAGTGGGGCAACAGCTGCCCGAACACGCTGCAGCTTCAAGCAAGTTGCTGCGAGGCTCCCTGCCCGGCGCCGGAAAGAGCTGCCGGGCCGCCCTACGCTGCCGGCTTCTAGTCTGAAGCCCCCTTCGCTCTCAGAGAGTTTCCCGGGAGCAAAACGCGTAGGCGGTGCGCCAGAGCGGGCCGACGCGTGCACGCGAGCGCTTGAACTTGGGCAGCGCGGACAGCGGCGGCAGGCAGGCAGCAACAGCAGCTGCAGGGGCTGACAGCACAGGATCGGCAAGAGCAGCGGCAGCGGCGGCTGGCAGCGGCAGCAGCAAGGGCAAGGCAACAGCAGCAGCATCGGCGGGAAGTGGTGGAGGCGGTATGTGGCGGGAGAGGGGGCCGCACGGAGCAGCGACGAGAGAAGGAGGGGGCCGACCTCCACAGGGCTCATTTCGACTCCTCCGATTCGATTCGATTTCGATGGTTTCCGATTCCGATTCGATTCGACTTGGGATGCCAAATTGGGTTCGATTTTGTTGTTGGAGGCATACAAGCCTGCCGAGTTCCGCCGATTCGACTTTTCCCGACTCGGCTTCCGATTTTCGCAGATCCGACTCATTTCGATCGCTGATCCGACTTATCGATTCGATTCTGGGCTCTCCCTGCCTCCACAGCAAGGTCGGGAGTTTGAGTGGGCCTGCAGCTGCCCAGACGCCATATGGCCCCCGCGCACCACCAGCCATGAAGCACTTTGGTCGGTGTAGCGTTTGGGTTGTTTGGTCTGGGCGATGTCGGAGTGCACTGTCAAGTCGCTTGCAGTTGCCTCCCTGTCGGCACTGCTCGCTCCACGCTGCTTCCGCGCTGCCGCTCCGAGAGGCCAAGAACGTGCAGCAGGGAGACGGGGCAGACCCAGGCAGTCCGCCGGCCTGCCGGAGTGCCTGCGCAGATGCACTCGCGGTGTGACGCGCTGATTTCAAGCAGTGGCGAAGCGTCCCGGCTCGCCCATAGCCCCACCAAACAATGTTCCAAGATTTTTTTTGTGGTTCCCACGACATGTTCTTAGAACATGTCTGGCCAGGACTGTCTTGTTTTAGTACATCGGGTGCATGTTCAAAGAACATTGTTTTTGCTATAAGAACATTTGTGGGTTCTAGGAACATTTCGTGGTATGACTATAGGAATGCCGGGACGGTCGGTCCCTGCTCAAAGGGTGGGGGGATGGACAGACCTCCTACCCTGACACGTCGATTGAGGAATTGGCCGTTTTCGGTTCGCGAGGGGGCGTCGCGGCCGCCACTCTTGCAGGTCCAGGTCCGTTGGTTTCGGCCCCAGGCCGTTTTCACTAAGGGGAGGTCTACTGAAGGGAGGTTTGTCCACCGCCGAAGGGTGGGAGGGGAGGGGTGCGTGGGAGGCGAGGGGAGCGCAGGAGGCGGACACGGAGGAAAGCACTGGGCGTGCCGATCCGGAGATCAGGGGATGGGCCGAGGCTTATGTCGGGCCTGTCCCCCTACAGGGGGATTTACGACGAAAAACCAAAAATAGACCAAACATACATCAAAAAGGTCGAAACATAGTTTTTAAAAAAGTCCCCAGGCTATTTCTTGAATATTTGTTTTATTCTGTTCGGGGTATTTTTCATTTTTCGTCGAAAATCCCCCTGTAGGGGGACAGGCCCGACGTAAGCCGAGGCGGAGGCGGGGGCGGAGGAGCCGGCGGAGGAGCTGGAGAGGGCAGTCAGCAGGGATCTGCACAGAACGACGAACGCAAGTGATCCTACGTGCGTGCAAGGTGGGATCATCCAGATCTTGACATGCGTCGCGGATGCTTACCACAAGCGGGTGCGATTGACATCCTTGCAACACGAATGCATCAGCAGTTGACGTCACTGACGCTGGTTTGAGCGCTTGCTAAGACAGCACGGCACAGTGGCTCGTCGTGCAGAAGCCGTCATGGCAGCATGAGTTGTTCGTGAATTTGCAGCCGATGCCTTCGCGCAGCCTGGATGCGCGTAGGCTTTGCCTGCTTGGCTTACCCCAATCAGTTCCTGGAGATATAAAAGCCTGCCCTTTTCCTCCTTACGTGCTCTGGGGTTCCTAGGCCTCCTGGCCTGTTCAACGTACGCACTTTAGTCATAAGGGGAGGCGGAGGACGAGGTGGAGAGAAGAGAAGCATGACGAACGAGAGAGAGGGAGGCAGGAATAGCGGGCGGAAGATGCATGAAGATTCCACAGAGTGGTTGGGGTCGCTAGCGGTCCCGTACGCACCAATGTGGAGGGGGACGGCCTTCGCAAACCTTACGCTCCGCACTGAAGTTGCACCGCGCGTCCATTCTTCCCGACGCATGCATGTCGTGTTATTGCAGCGATGCGTCGCTGGAAAGTTGAGGGTCCCGTTGGCCGCCTGACATGCGCAGGAAGCCGGAGGGCTGCATGGGCCCACGCGGGGGTGGGGGGGGGCAGGGAGCACGACCTGATGATCCTACCTCTGCGGGCGGCGGCAAGACTAGAATGGTGAGAACCCGGTCGGCTTTGTAATGGAAGTGGGCGAACGCAGTAAGACTCGACTACACATCGCTCCAAATCGCACTGGGTTTGTGATGGGTTTGATGCCCGCCCGCGTGGCTGGCACATACTGCTGCAAACTGCATGCGGCGCCTCAGTGATGCCACACGTTTGAGACATAGCCCGCCCCCTGCCTGTGATTGCCAGATGTGGTTTCTGGTGCCACGCAATGCAAGGACTCTTCAAGTGAGAGCCCGGTGTTGATAACGAACGGCCACCGAAACCGTGTGACGGCTGAAGGCTTCAAGTTTGGGCCAGAGATCCCAAAAGCGTCTCAGGCGAAAAACGGTTGTTGGAACAGAAGCGTCTTTCATGAGCGAGACGTTTGGGGCTCTCAGCTCTTTTCACCACTGAGCGCGAGGCATCTGAAGGTGGTCACCACGTTTTGACAGCAGGCCCCGGGAGCCCCCCAAAAGAAGATTCCAGAGGCGTCCGGGGGTCAGTGCACAGGGGAAGGGCTTGAGGAAGCAGCGCGCAGAGCGGTCGAAATGCAGTTCTTGCCAAAGCGCCGCGCAGATTTTGCGTGAAAGCTGCAGGCAGGGCTGCATCGTCGCGGCGCATTCCTCCTGGTGTCGGCGGCGAAATCCGAACCCTACCCTCGTGGATCAGCGAGTCAGGCAACTCGATGTGCGGCTGGAGTGGGTTTCATCGTCGTACTGAATGTGCGACGTCCGCATTTGTGGTTGCGAGCGTTGGATAAATACGGTTCCGAGTAGGTGGGATCGCTGGATAGTGCCGCATCCCCGATGCATCGGCAATGCGGCTTCGCCTAGAGCCGGATCTTCTCAATCCCAACGTCGTTTGTGCATTAGGGCACAATTCCATCTAATGTACTCAAGAGGCTTACGCCGTCCCGCCGACACTCCGACGAGCTGAGGAGTCCAGGGGAAAGTGCCAGTGCGAAGTGTGATCGTGAATGTTGAGGACGGCATAGGTTTCTTGTCATGACGGGCTGGCACATCCTTGGGAGGGGGACGTGGGGCAGCTGATCCCCTCACACGCCTTCGCACGCGGCAAGTGAATGCCCAGGAGGAGATCGAGGACAACGGGACGGTTTACAATATTGTCCGGATTCTGTTTGTGGTCCCCTCGTGCAGCTGGGGGGAATCTTGGGGGATTCTCGGCAGCCTTTGGGGGGGTTCGTTGGTCATGTTTGATGCTGCCTGGGGCTCATGGGGGGCACCTTCGGGGCCTGCTGGCGGCCAAGGTGGCGGCCTCACGGAGCTTTGTCAGGGCTCCTGGGGGATTGCGGGGACGTTCAGGAGGTTTGGGGGGTCTCATGGAGCCATTTGGGGACCCTGCTCCCAGGGCCTCTGCGGCTTCCCCTCCCTTGTGCCTCTCTTGGGGCCACGTTCAGGTTTTCGTTGCCGTCTTGGGGGCCTCCCGGGCCGCCTCGGGGCCCTCATTGGCCGTCTCCTGGCCGTTTTGAGGGTGTCTTGGGCAGGCTGGGGCTAGTCTGGGGAGCCTTTGGGGTCGTCGTGCGCGTACAGACGCTAGAGAGCCGAGGACGCGAATATCATACAAACATTATACAGTCGCAAATCAGGGTTGTTTACGCTACGGCCCTCTGGCGGGTCCTCTTGGGGCTTCCTTTCGGCGTCTTGGGCCATCTTGAGGTTTTCGTGGGTGTTCTCGAGGCCTCTCCGGCATGTTGGAGCCCTCCAGGAAACACCTTAGAACGCATCTTTGGGATCTCGGCGGCCACGGAGGGTGGATTCTGGGGCTCCGAGATCCCAGGGGGGAGCGTTGCGGAGCCTGGCCATCCACCCACCGCACCCGGCCACCCCCTCCTCCTCAGATGCGCTTTTGGATTCTAGGGGAAAGTCGGGTGTGTCCTTCTCCAGGAGGAAGATTCCAAAATAGTCCAAAAATCGTCTGTGGACGAGTTTGAGCATTTTTGAACATTTTCGGATAATGTTTCTCGCATGTTTTATTTTTCATCCAAAATCCGCCTGTAGGGGGACACGCCCGACCTAATTCTAGGGGAGGGGGGAAACGGGGGAGGGGTGACACAGGGCTTCAGGCGCAAAGGGGGCCTGGTGGTTTTTAAGCGTGATCTTTTTCAGCTCCAGACTGGATGATTCGGCGGGCTTTCGGCCCTCCGAGGGTTTCATGCGTCTCTCTCTCTCTCTCTCTCGCTCTCTCTTCTGTGTGTTTTCGTTCGTAGCGCATTCCTCTTCCTCCTCATCCTTCTCCGTCTTCCTCCTCATCCTGTTCCCGATCATCCTCCTCTTCCTCCTCCTCCTCCTCCTCCTCGTCCTCCTCCGCCTCCTCCCCCTCTCCCCCTTTTCTGAAGGAATGCCAGAACTTTGGGAAAACCATTGGAAAAACCAAAAAAACCAAAGAAACCTAAGTGGTGGAGACGGAAAGTTTAGGAAACCCATTGGAAAAACCAAAAAAAACAAAAAAAACAAAGATTCCACAGAGAGTGCGGGGAACACCCGTCCGAAGGGACACGTCCAAAGGGAATCCCCGCACTCTCTGTGGAATCTTTGGTTTTTTTGTTTTTTTTGGTTTTTCCAATGGGTTTCCTAAAGTTTTCGTTTCCAGCACTTAGGTTTCTTTGGTTTTTTTGGTTTTTCCAATGGTTTTCCCAAAGTTGTTGCATTCCTTCAGAAGGGGGGGATGGGGGAGGAGGGGGAGGAGGAAGAGGATGGAGAGGAGTCGCAGGGAGGAGGTCGCGGGAGGGGTTCGTACCTGCGGCGCTGAACCCTCCCTCTGTGATGCATTCCCACGGAATCCTGTTGAGAGGCCTTCCATGAGAATCCCTTTGGGGTGCTTTCCAAAGGAATCCTGTTGTGAGGCTTTCCAATTGGATCCCTCTGTTGTGCTTTCCAATGGAATCCTGTTGGGAGGCTTTCCAATGGAATCCCTTTGTGATGATTTCCAAAGGGTTCCTGTTGTGAGGATTTCCAAAGGGTTCCTGTTGTGATGGTTTCCAAAGGGTTCCTGTTGTGAGGATTTGTGTTCCAGCGCCATCCTCCCAACGGTAGCAGTTTGGATTGCGGCTTTCCAATAGAATCCCTCTGTTGCGCTTTCCAAAGAAACCATGTTGGGAGGCTTTCCAATGGAACTCCTTTGTTGTGCTTTCCAAAGGATTCCGATTGTGAGGCGTTCCAGTAGAATCGCTGTGTTGCGATTTCTGTAGGATTCCGAATGTGAGGCGTTCCCATAGAATCCCTCTGTTGTGCTTTCCAAAGGAATCCTGTTGAGAGGCTGTCCAATGGAACTCCTTTGTGGTGCTTTTCAAAGGGTTCCTGATGTGAGGCTTTCAAATGGAATCCCTTTGTTGCGCTTTTCAAAAGATTCCAATTGTGAGGCTTTCCCATGGAATCCCTTTTGTGTAGTTTTC